GATAACTAAGTTGTGGATGAATGACCCAGCAAATAATGCTGGAGGATAAATATAAAAAGTTGTTCTGGCTGCAAACCACGCCAGACGTCTACATAGCATGTGCAATAAATCCGGGAAATTCACTGAACACATCTAGCAATTATTGATCAAAAATAGGCATCATTATTGCCCAGCGCTAGCGAAACAAAATGAAGATCAGCGTTCAAAATATAACAAACGGAAAGTAACTTGCCAGACAGCAACACACAAAATATGGCAGAGTCAGGCCGAGATAGGAACCGTCACAATCACCAAGACCATTCGACGGGACAGTTGGAACAATGTACAAGTACCATAGCGCTTCGCCTCCACAAAGTCAAGAAGAGAGTGGGCAGGGCTGTCGAGCCACCGCTGGTGGTAGTCAGATATTCTTGATGACGTCGATCCGAGTGATCGTACAATTTATCTTCGATCAGGGCAATGACATTAAACAACATGATGCGCAACTCCGGCATTTTTGTCCGAAGATCGTATTCGATAGCACGCTCCAATGCACATACTTGACGAGACGAAAACGAGCGGATGTGTGCTGCTTTCGAGGCGTAGCACGAATGGTGTTCGTGCCTGCTTTGACAGTTGTTGTCGATTTTAATGATATTTTTGAAAGTTGGGGTAAAAAGAAATCGGTAAAAGGTAAGGTGAATACTATTGTTGTATATCACACACCTGGGCATCGCACTGTTAAGTACATGTGGGAAAGCCAGCCTTTGTCAAATACTACGAAGTTATTAATTCAGTACGGTACGTAGTTGCCCATTTGCCGAAATTACATATTTACTTACCCCTTATGGTTTCAAATAGTTCATGCACCTCCAGTTAGATTTTTTTAATCAGTGAGGATATATACTCATTGTTGATTGCTGCTCATTGTAACATACTATTGCGCATTCACTTTTATTTGCGTATTGAATCAAAGTGTTAACAAGTTCACCTAACATTTCACTCATACCGGTCTATATTGTATAGTCTGATTTCTCAAGTATTTGGAGCCACGAATGCTTGTAATTTTCTGACTAAACCCTTTTATTAGTTGGTTTATATACCAAATTCAGTAAAATATTTTTTACATAAAACATGAGATATTGGATTTATTAGCTTTTCCATTCTAAATCATATAGACTGCATTATTTATTCTTAACGAAAATTAATAAATCTCCTCTCTTTCTTCAGATGTGAAAGTTGTGGACAAACCTGTCTAAGCATTGTGAGACTCTTGCAGTACAAGAGGCAATAGCAGAAATAGTAAGTATATCAATCAAGAAATTAAGCCGACATAAAGCAAAACTTTCAACTATTCGTCTAATCTCAATTTCCTATTATTTATTCACAGGACAACTATAGCAGACGGGGAGATATCAGAAGTCTGGCGACATATCAGTGACAGTGTGATTCCAAGAAATATAATGTTTGCAATAGAAAAACAACCTATGGAGGCATGCAAAGACATTTGACCCTCCGGTAGAGTTGTTTATGGCCCCCGCATCCTGCAGGGCTTGAGGAAAATAACTAAAAATTCCAAAGCGTAAGATTGCATAAGCGGTCTTATTTGTAAAAAGGCACAAAACACGCCAGACATACTTAAAACAGCTTTGGAAATGAGGATTACGGGTACCTCACTGCACCTGTGTTATATTTGGTTCATCAACTTTTGGTAGTACTATAGAAGAAATTCCGGAAGGGGTATAATCATCATTCATGATAAAATACTATCATATATTTTTTGAACAACTTCAATCTAGACCAGGGATCTCAAACTCGCGGCCCCAGAGAACTTCCAGTGCGGCCCTCGAACGCTTAACAATAATTGTAATAGTATTTTGGAAGTTTTTTTTTTATCTAAATGTAATAGATTTTTCAAAACCTTCTAAAGTGAAATTGATTATTCACACAGAAAACAATTTACTGAAAGTAGTTTTGGAATATTAATTTTTTTTGTCCACATTTTGACCCAATTAAGAATACACATCAAGCTAGCAAAAGAATACTTGAATAAAACACTTGAGTAATTAAATTGAACGCAAAGTACATGAAGAAGGTGGCATTTTCGAAGAAAATGGGAGTTGTAACATTTCTGATCTTCACAAAATTCTGAAGCACATTGTTTAATTTGTCATATTTCCATCAATACAATCAAAAAACACAATAAGCTCAGCAGTCAATATGACAAATTCGAAGACCAACTTCGAACAGAAAATTTCCATGTGTTTGTATATTAATATAATTATACAACGACTTAGTTACTAAAAATCAATATCAATAATAATTCAAGCAATCCTATGGCACGCAATGTAGTGCGAAATGTCTTGTCGAAAAATCTGTCATTTGCTTTTTTACTGATCTATACATGAAATGATAAAAGTAACTTTTTTGCATTACTGGAATTAATTAAACATTCGTAAAGATCCAGATAAACCCATGATCATGTGGCCTCGTTAGTTAGAGTTGGTACTATAAAATCATTTCGAACTGGCCTTAGTATGCTGGTGACACAAAAAAGATGCCAAACGCCAGGACAAATGTATTTATTAAAACATTGAGTTTATACTGTAGTATTTTTGTTAATTTTAGGTTTATATATTTAGTTTAAGTTATTTTTAGTGTATGTATTATTCTTTCCTTATTCAAAGCTTGTTCAAAAATGATTTTGATGGTTGTACATAGAATTTTACGATTTTTTATAATAAATACTGTAACTTGCAAATGTTGCAATAATAGTGGAATGCAAATATTAATATGTAATTGCATTTGAAATTGAAGAAAATAATAAAACTTAATCCAACTGTTTAGTTGCATCACAATATATGTCACAAACTAAAACTATCTTAAAAATATCTTTTAAGTATACATTATCAAAAACTGTTTGCGGCTCTTTTTACAATTTTCAAAATGCAATGCGGCTCTCGAAAACCCATGAGTTTGACACCACTGATCTATTTAGACGATTCAAGCATTGCTTTGGGAAATTATATCACTTCAATTAAATTGAAATAATCTCGCTATATTAAATACAAAATCATTGCTATCATAAAGGTAAACCAATTCAGCCACTCGAAATATATTGGCCTTCACAAAGCAATGGAGGCAAAGCAAATTGAGAGTTCATGAGCTATGAACATTTGTTCTTTTCTTTGTCTTGAACTTTTCATACTCCACAGCCCCTATTAATTTTTTTTAATTTTAATTACCATGTGATGGTCATACATATCTTTAACTTGTATTTTCTGTCATGATGTATTATCTCAATGTGCCAAACTATTAATTAGTGTGCATATTTTGCTTCCAGATGACATAAATGTATTGTCATGTTTATTACCTCAGCTTGGAGTATTGACAAGAAAAAGGTGCCAGTAAATTAGGTAAAAAAATTTTCAACTCATTGTTATAATCAGAATTCACAATCAATAGGAATTATAAACAGCCAACAATCAGTGAGAATTATATGCGAAATCCCTCAGAATAAATTTGTCTAAAATCGGAGGAAGGCAAAAAATATAGGTAGTTTCCATCCACACAAGCATTTCAAGAAGACTTGCTCGAGCCAAACTAAATGAGCATCGTCAGGTGATCGGTAAGGCTGCAAGTTGAATTCAGCCCTGCAACCTCCTGCATAGAAGATAATATTAATTAGTGGGCTATGAGCTAAATTGCTAAATTTAAACAAACCTATCTACGATGCATTATGTACCAGCAATGTTACCTACGATTAACTGAATATGTAATATGTCTAATAAATTCACCTACAAAAGCAAGTTCGATAGGTGCAAACTTTGTGTTATGGAATTGTATCGCAGCACAGTTTTGTATGACACCCTCTTTAAATGAAATTTCAATGATTAAGCGCAAACATTAAAATTACTAACTTTGAACTTTGTCATTATCTGCAAAATGTTCCACACAAATCTTTCCGCTATCGCGTTTGTAATTTTCTCTGATAAAAAAAAAAACGTCTATGATGTCCAGAATTGCTCTTTACAGCTTGCCTGTTATTCCAGCTTTCCAAGTAAGCAAAACTTCTTAGATATAGAGATTATTTTGTTTCGTTACAGGCGCAAAAAGGCAGGTACTACACGTAAAAAAGACGCCGAGTAGCAAAAGCGAGCGGAAAACGGACGCGAAAGGCGACGAGAAATATGTGCATTGGAGCGTATCATGAAATATAATGTTTCGCCTGTAGTCTTATGGAGTGACGTCAGAGTTGCCTATCATGTTGTTTAATGTCATTGATCAGGGCTAGTAAAAGGCAGAGAATCGATAGTGCGATAATGGCTCCGAATAACGGTTCAGCATTTTTAAACGTTGACGAATACAATGGCCAACTTGCATAGTTATAAATAACGACTGCTTGTGGATCTGTAGCTTTTACATTTGTTTATAAAATATTGTGTTCGGTCGTATTATAACAAATATCTAAATTTACAGGAAATTTGGATTTGGTTTATTTAACCATATCGACGTAATATATATATCTTCATTTGGATATACAAAAAATAATCAAGTTCATAAGTCCAAATTGACAATGGATTTTAATTTGCCCAAAAAAGGTAATTTTTAACTGGGAAGTCGTTATTCCGAAGAATGGATTCGCACAGTCGTCGTTCCAATTTATTGCATTTTACCGCTATGGTCGTCAGTAGAACAACATTTTCGCGGCGGTGGAGAGTTTAAAATTCATAAAACTGAAGACCTTCATATATTGCACAACAATGTTATTCATTGGCGTTGAGTTTCTCCGTGTCTAATAGAGCTACAAGTGTGAAGTCATCGTCAAAATAAATAGCAGGGCTTTTAATTTTTTCCTTGTCAAAAATAATTTCACGCGTTTTTTTTCACATTATATTGCTCTACATCGAGACTGCATTTTGGTTGGTGGAGAAAAAGCTGGCAATATGAGTAGCCTAACAATCCTGAAGATATAATCCAGACCACTGAGATTCAAAACTATTAAACTTAACAGTAAATGCTTTATGTGTTTAGAAACATGTATTTGAGAACAAAATACAGTTGTTATTTGGCAAAAATCTAACATTACAGACACAATCACTGGATAAGCAAGTTATTGTCTACACAGAAATTGGCTGAAGTAAGCAGGCATCAAATGTTAAATGCGGAAACATTGTTTTGCATGGGTTGTTTCATTACTTTAGTTTGATAAGCAGCATTGGGCTATCACGAGTGATGAGTATTGCTCTGAATACATACAGCAAGCAAGCAAATCATTCTGTTGAAAATTGGCTTCCTTGCCTATTGGAGTGCCATTGTTGATTTGGTTGCAGAAGCATGGAAGGCTATTATCACTATATTTGCCTTTGATGCATTACGAGTTCTGGAGCCATCTGCAAAGTACACATTCGGCTGAATCAACCCGCTGTCTGCTCTAAATCGGAGCATCCAGGTTCTTGTTCTTCATCGTTGTATATGTTTTCAGCCATCTGCCACACCTGCATGATGTTATCCTCTGACACAGAACATATTACCCATGGTTCTTTTGAGTTCCAGGAAAAATCAGAGATCTTGGCTGTGTGGCCACCATGAATGAACTGACAAAACATACGGTGATTTCTAATTAATTTTTTGAAAAAATTCAGCAAATAACATGAAATTAAAAATAAAAATGCATTCCAAGCATTTTCTGTGACATTACTGCCATACTTCAGTGACCAATTACTTATGTGATTGAAAGTAGATACAAAACTATATTATATTTCTCCGAGCAGTAACAGACGGCTGAGAATCGCCTGGCATAAATAATTAGTAAAAATGAGCAATTTGCATGACACACAGAAATCAATTGGCAAAAGTCATAGCTTATACATTAAATAAAATTTTTACCTGAAATATTTGTATATGGATGGAAATGATAATAATAAACAGGCAAATTAATTTAGGCATATTATTTTGGCCTCATTAAACTGTAGGTAAACAAAGCCCACCTTTTATTTACATACAGGGTGATCCAAAAAATAACAGAGCTCATAAATTTCTTAATTACGGTACTATGAAAATGAAGAAAACTTATTTAACACTTCAACTTCTGTTTGTGTATAATTGTACCCAAAAGTTTCAGTGATCTGGGATGCTTTGGGCAAAAGTATGTTCCAAAAGATCTTGGTTCCATTTTTTGGAACACTGTCACACTGGAAACATGTCATAATTTTGTTCAACCTATCATATATAATTTTAGTATATTTAACAATATTTGGATATTTTTAAATAAGAAATATTGAGCAAATATATTACTACAGCTCAAAATATTGTACAATGCATTCCAAAATTCAATTCCACTTTGCACAGGAGCAGATACTACATATCTAGCTATGGCACTTTTATTGTATAATTTATTCTTGGTTAAACTGATGTGATCAACTACTGAACAAAAAAAATTAACAGAGTGATAAAAAAGTACATACCAGTAGTTCTGGAGGACCATCCTCCGCGTCTTCTGCGGACTGTTCTTCGCCAATCTTACTTAGATCCCAGACATTGAGTCTGCGATCAGTTCCACTTGATGCCAGGATAGTTTCATTATGTGGTGACCATTGAACTTGGAATATTTCATCCTTGTGTGATTCAAATGAATGAAGCTTGAGCTTAAGATTTCTCAAATCCCACAATGCAACAGTTTTATCAGCTGAACCAGTGGCAAGAATAAATTCACTGAAGGGGTTGAATGATAAACAATTTACTTCGGCAGTGTGAGCCTCAACGATATGACTTGGTTTATTGGTACTTTGTGCCCTTGTATCCCAAATAAGTAATTTCTGATCATCTGCTACCGATCCGAATAGACTTTCATGAAGGAGGTGCCAAGACACATCTTCTACTACAGCAGTGTGACCAGTAAATACTGATTTAGCATCGAGCTCACGATTTTCTTTTAATTTGTGACCCACGTCCCACAGACATATAGTGTGATCATCTGAAGCACTCAACAAGTGACCAGTTACATTTGGATTCCAAGATAAGCCATAGCCCTCTTTCTGATGACCTTTTAAACGAATATCAGGTTTGCAAACTCCACATGGATCTGGTTTAGGTGGATGTTTGGTGATATCGAAGACTAGGACATCGCTACTTGGTGTCTTTGTGCCGATGATACACGGCCTCTGAGGCATGTAACGAGCTCTATTGACCTCTCCTTCGTGGTTAATTTTTGTTTCTATCTCAATTTTCCCACTAACTGAACCAAAACCACCAAATTCCCCTCTTTCACTATCATAATGAGATGCATCAAATGTAGCATCATCTGTGGGAAGCTGAACGCTCGCAATGATCATGTGATTTTGTTCATCTGAGGTATGTGTCCCCAAAATGAGCTTATGAACAGCATAGTCTTTCCCATCTGCTTTTGCTACATCAGGAAGCCATTGAACTGTGAGACTTGGCCATTCTAATGCATGTGTCATTACCAGATCATACAAAAATGGTGTGTTCTTTTTCCATATCTTATATTCTTCATTGATAACTCTTTCTTCCACTGCCTCATCAAATGTTTCTTTTTCAGCCATAACAGCCTTCGATTTTGAGTTAAAATGTCTAATTTGATCAATGCTCTATAGTAAACCAGAAACTATTGTAATGTATAACCTTTTGTGCATACATAATAGGATTTTTATTCTGGCGTGAGTAAATTCAAGAGCTAGAATTTTGTCCTTATCAATAATTTGAAAAAATAAGCAATTCTACTAATTTTATTCCGAATAAGTGAATATTATCTCCTTACAAGATCAATTCAATTCATCAAAGAATACAGCTTTGGGAGGGTGGAGGGCAACTTGTCACAGCGCTAACTCGCCATGGGCAACTCGCCTGCTCCATATTTGATTATGATAAGACAGTGCAAGAAGAACTATAATATGCGGTATAGAGATTTAAAGGACCACACTATGATTATTTAACACTAATATTGCATCAGCATTTGAAGCTTTGAAAATTACTGATATTTCAGCGAGTCGAGTAAAACATCAAAATTATATAGACTATTCAAAATGACTTTGAGTGAATAACAACAACTGACAAAGCTGAAAGTATCTCAAATTATGTTTTTAAAGTCGTTAAATTGTAACAGAGCTCACGATATCCAAGGAATTCAAAGAATGGCAGTGTCACATCATTATCATTTGAGAATGTTTGATAGGAGATTTGTAGCATCATCCGATTTCAGGTATCCAAATAGATCATATTAAGCAATAACAAAACGAGAATATCGGTCAGAGACCGAAGACTTATCGATCAAAAGTTAGGGGATCCCCCAAAACAGCGCTCTCCATAGTGACACCTTGTGTCCAATCACTAATTAATTAATAATTCGTTAATTATACGACATAATTCGCCCAAAATCAATAGGCTTCTGGTTCGAAATATGATGAATGCACATGCAAAATCTGCAGCAGATCCAATCTCACTTTCGTGAGATATCGCGTGCATCCAACAGACAGACAAATATCTATCAACATACTTACCGATTAAAATCGATAAGTAATAAATTAGGAATTTAGTCTTGCTATTAGCAACAAATACTAAAATAAAGTATGCGTACATTCGTTATATATAGTCTAGATACACTAAAACACTTACGTAAACTGCGAAAATATGTAACTAGTAAATAAAATATTCCACCCCTTTTATCTGTGCTTCTATAAGAAAAATTCAAAATTGGGGTTATATATATTATATTGATTAGGGAATAATCAACTTTCAACACCAAACTGACAGTGCTATTTCAGTACTGGTACTGCAATATGTAAGTATAGACTACCGGTATATGATACACTACAGTAATATGACATGATAAAGGATATGTGGATCAACGGATGTACTTAATGCAAAGAAACCCGAAATCTGATAAATCACTACCGGTACCGGTATCTGAAAAAAAAACCCTACAGCCCTAACAGTGGCAGCGCAGCTTTGGTTTAGAGATGTTACTTGATTTTATCTATTTACCGGTAGTCTATATCAGGGTGGGCAAACTGCGGCTCAAAGAAGATTTTTGTGTAGCATGCAAAAGCCTTGAACATATACCGGTAGCCTACTTGAAAACAAATAAAAGTCATGAAAAAAATTACTACAATTCTGTAAAATTCGATTCATAACAAGCATAGCCTATCCGCATAAGTACCTAATACCTCTGGCTCGGGGAATGTCAAAAAAATATAACTTAGATGGTTAATTTATCAGTTTGTAGGGTTTGATGACAATATCAGCGGTGCACAGTTCTCAGATGTCTCAACATTTGGTTAAATACAACGAACATTCTATTCGTCTCTGATTAAGCCTAAGCCGTCTTACTGACTTTCCTCTTCCCCGGCAGCCCGGGATAAATACGTACCGTAGGCGGGAGGCGGACAACTCGACTACACGGACAACTCACCAGAGACAACTCGACTACCTGGAGACCTGGTGAGTTGTCCGTCTTTTCGCATTTTCTACGGTGGTGTTTTAGGTCTATAGAAAAGCGTTTTTGATATTTTTAGTGCTCAAATGTTGAATATTCTCTAGAAAGTATTTTTATTTGTATAAGTGGCTTATTTTAATCATGTTGTATGAATACAAATACAGTCTACAGACGAAATTGAAGTAACGTTAGCGAAGTTAGACTGTTGATTTATAGGACTGTGTTCGTTTAATTTTATGAACTTTATTGGTATTAAATGTTTTGAATGAGCACATTTAAATATATTAAAACCTTTATACTTCACAGTAACACTTAAATATTTATGAATGTGAGCTTAGTAGTCTAAACTCGCCTACGGCAGTCGCCCGTCAACTCACCAGTCGAGCAAACGCTCTGCGACGTGACGTCATCGATGCTCCAGGTAAAGACAACTCGACTACCGAGCAACGAGAGTCAGACAACTCACTAGTCGAGCAATCGCTCTGCGATATAGACGCTCGAGGTAAAGACAACTCGACTACCGAGCAACGAGAGTCAGACAACTCACTAGTCGAGCAATCGCTCTGCGATATAGATGCTCGAGGTAAAGACAACTCGACTACCGAGCAACCTCACTAGTCGAGCAATCGCTCTGCGATATCGATGCTCGAGGAGAAGACATTGCTTTGCAAAACGCAGACTCAATAGTTGCATAGCATTTACTCAGTGCCGACTGATATTAGTTGTAAGCCAACTTACCACGGCAAGGTTTCAGTCATAGAGTTGGAAATTCTTTTTGCAGAAGAAAACCAGGAACAGATAGGCACTGTCGCTGCGCCTGGCAAAGAAACTGGGCCGAAGAATGGATAAAAGATGTTTACTTTTTGTTACGATTAATGAATTTATTATGATATTTAAATACTAAACGTTATGGGGAAATTTAATGGATGGAAGGTTTTGTTTTCTTTTTCGTTACGAATATTGAATTTTATTTGAATACTGAACGTTATGGGAAATTTGCTGCGTTACATACTTACTCTTTGCAATACTGCGGCCCGTAGATCCTTGAACACCTCCGAGGAAGAGAGTCCACAAGTAACTCTCCTTCCTTAAACTGTTCCCAAACATGTTGCACCCTCTCGTTGGCTTCCGCATGCCTGCCGTTGACACGCCCCACAACATTCTCTTCCAAAATATCCACAACGTCCGCCTCTATCCCTATACTTACCTCGTACATTGTTGAGATTAAACTGTAAAAAGGCATATTTTTCCGAGTTATACTGTTGAAATGGCGGTGCCAACCTTCCAGATGATTGTTGGTTCTTATTTCTACGTCGAATACTGACCAATCCTTGGGAGTCCAGACACTGTTGTATAACCATGTGTTTTGAAAATATTCGGCGAAGTTCTTGAGATCTTGAGTATGCATCTTTTCTTTCAGTGATTTGAACCTGGGCGTGATAAACATAGTAGGTATATAGCACAGCGCCATGACATGCTTTATCAGGTCTCTTGTTCCAGCGTCCCTAAAACAAAATGTTAAAACAAAGAAAAACTGTGATGGAAACGACCTCGGCTAATGAGTATTTACGTTTGTAAGGTGTCAGGCCGGCGATAATGAGGCTGTAAACTCGGCGATAACCGAGCAGTAATCTCGGCGCGCGGCATGATCATCACCGATCTGGCACCTTATCTAATCTCATATCACCAATCTGGCACTGATATCCATGCACATTCCGGCGCAGGAAAATTGACTACGTCCACATCTTCAATGTAATTAACAAGCTAAGCAGGGATGCTCTTTCCACTTCACTCAGGCCATCATGAAGAATGTGCGCCACAATAATTTGGCTCGCCTATACAACAAGTGAGTGGTTAACCATATTTATATATACTATGTTTATCACGCCCAGGTTCAAATCACTGAAAGAAAATCTGGTGAGTTGTCCGTGTAGTCGAGTTGTCCGTCAGCCCCGTAGGCTACATCATAAATCCTATCAGGACAGATGCTTAAGCGAGCAAGGCAAAAATAAAATAAAAACAGCGCGAAGCAGGAATGGAGGATGTTTCCCCAACCCTTGACCCCAGAGAAATTATCTTAGTACTTTATTTTGGAGGTGGTTTGTAAAAAGGTGACAACTCGGCCCTAATTTGCGGTGGTTCAGAATCACCGCACCTTTATAGCACGCGAAGCGTAGGTTGTAAAACAACTGGGAACATGAATAATGAAAAAAACATGAATAATGAAAAGCAGTACCCCTAGTCCCCACCCATTAAGATTGCTCTATCCCAACTTCTATCTTTTTGGCATATATTCGTGAATTAAGGTCCTGTTCGCCAAAGTTAATATAAAACATTCAGCCCTATCAGACAAAAATAAAGAAATCTTGATCTGTCAAAAAAGCGTGTTTGTTTGTGAAAGCAATAATATATGCTGGTGTAATATTCAAGGTCTTGAATCCAAGTAACAGACAGGCTTCAATTGCTCACAGAATATATTATATTGCATGAAAGTAAATAGAAATACAACATACGTCCGTCGCTCACCGAGAGTAGTTCTAGAATGTTCTGTCATGTGGCCTAAACTAGATCACCAGATGTACTCATATTATTACGTCATAGACCAAATATAAGACATAGAATATAGCAGTATTTCATGGACATTACATCCCTCCCTAACTTAAATCTGAAATTTATCACATTAAATTTCACTTGGGAATATGCATAACCTAGAACATTTCACACATAGCTGTCACAAATGTAAATCAAGTATAAGCAATATGTTATGACACTAGATAGTACTTGGCTAACCTAAAATTTCCATTCATGAAATATTTGTCTGAAATAGTTATCAAGCACACTTATGTATCATGCAATAAACTTAAAAATGAAATATAGTACTGTGATATTGAAAAGTTAACACACTACAATGAAATTCACTTCACAAAGTAATGAAATTATAACAATCAAAATTCAGGCATAATCAACTTTATACATAACAATTTATCATTAATTGACTACACCCCTTTTGTAAGTGTAATACAATCACAGTTCATTTCTTTTACACAGCTTGGTAATGTTTATATACAGTCTATTCATGTTTGATCAAGCTTGATATCATAGTTTCAAAAATAGTGTTAGTATTAGTAAGTCACCAAGCTTGATATTGCTAAACAGTCCATAATATTTATGTTTTCTCAGTACAGTCCTTGAAATAAATGTTCATTTATACAATTTATAATCTCTGAAGCGTTTAGGCAGTTTGATTGAACGCTTTGATTTGCGATGAGCCACTATCTCGTTATGAGGTTGATCATTTGAGAAACTAGATGAAATCTGCTCATCAGCTGGAGAATCAGATTCATTTGATGCCTCAGGAATTATATCAGCAGCCACTTCCATTTCATCTGATATTTCAGGAACATGAGTCTGAAATTGTCGATCATTCACCTTTTTAAACTGAGATATATTTCTGGTTTTGTTACCCAAACCAGGACTTCTTGCAGTAACCATACTTCCCTTCACAGCAACAACAGTCATGGGCTCTGGGTTATATGCTGGAGTTAACTTGTTATATCTTCTTTGTCGAACCAACACCATGTCACCAATATGCAGTTGAGAAGCAGGTCGTGTGCAAAGTCTCTTATCAGCATACCTTTTCTGTATGGTTTTCTGTTTCGAATCACATTCTCGCAATTCTTTATCATCTGCAACTTTTATTACTTCAGGAAATAAAACTTTAATATTTCTTCCATAAAGCAGTTCAGCAGGAGCTTTATGTGTTGTTACATGTGGAGTCGCTCTGTAATTTCTTAGAAATTTATACAATTCTTGTTTCCATGATTTTCCTTCAACTGTAGCAGTTTTGATTGCTTTATTTAGTGGTTTCATGAAATTTTCAGCTTGGGCATTTCCTCTTGGCCATAACGGAGTTATTTTCTGATGATGAATTCCACAGTAGTCCATGAATCTTTTAAATTCGTGACTTTGAAACGGTGTTCCATTATCTGTCTTGAGCACTTCACAAAATCCATGTGTAGCAAATATTTTGTCAAAGATTGGAATCACGCTACGAGCTGATGTCGATTTTACGAGTTCAACTACAGGAAATCTTGAGTAGTTGTCAATGACTACCAAGAGATAATCACCACTAGGATACGGTCCACAGAAATCAGCACTAAGAGATTTCCAAACAGCTCTTGGCAATTCACTCATTCGTAAAGGTTGGAATCTTTCATCTTTTGTAACAGCGGCACAAGCTGGGCAATTTTTTATGTAGTTTTCCACCATTGAGTCAATATTAGGAAACCACAACTTTGCTCTAATCAATGCTTTTGTTTTAGCAACTCCTTGATGTCCCTCATGTGCTATGGAGACCATTTGCTTTCTCATCTTCACAGGAACTACTATACGATGTCCACGAAGAATTATGCCTTGTTCAGTTATGCTCAATTCACTAGATAAACTTTCAAAATTTCGCATTTCTTCACAGTTTCGATAATCTTGCCATTTTCCAGAAACAATGCATTTTTTCACATTTTGCATCATAGGGTCATTGAAAGTCTCTTCTTCTATTTCTTTTAGTGTGATCGCTTTTGGACAAGCACTTTCACACACATAGTTCAGAAATTCTTCTGCAATTTTCAGATCACGGTTATTCTCTGCTTTCGATGGATGACGTGACAAATAATCTGCTGGATTATTCGCCCCAGGTCTGTATATCACAACAAAATCATATTGCTGTAGTCGTAACACCATCTTTCTATTCTTGGAGAAGGCTTTGGCAGTAACATTTGAAAATATACTAACCAATGGTCTGTGGTCAGTAATAACATTGAATTTCATTCCATATAGGTACAAGTGAAAGTGTTCAACTCCCCAACGAACAGCCAGTGCTTCACGTTCGATTTGAGAGTAACGAGTTTCAACATCATCAAGACTTCTGATGCATAAGCAACAACTTGTACTTTTCCACTTTTTGAGCTTCTTTGTGTCAAAATTGCTCCTATTCCGAATGGCGATCCATCTACAATTAATTCAGTCTTTAGATCAGGATCAAAATATGACATAACCGTGTCACTTGTTAGATTTTCTTTCAACTTCAGCCAGGCACTTTCACATTCATCACTCCAGATGAAATCAGAATTTTTCTTTGTCAATTCCTCAGCGGCTTCACAAGAATTGCTAAATCTTTAATGAATCTTGAGAGATATTGCGCCATGCCTAACAAAGACTTCACTTGTGATTTATCTGTAGGTCTGAAAGCTTCTTTGAGTGCTTTAATTTTCTTTGGATCAGGAGACACTCCACGTTCACCAAAAATATTACCATAGAACTCCATAGATGATTTGAAAAACTCACATTTTCTTTTATTAAGCGTAAGACCTTTTTCTTTGATTCGTTGTAAACATGCTCTGATATGCTTCTCGTGACCATCATCATTTTTGCTAAAAATATAGATGTCATCCGAAATATTCTTCACGCCTTCTAGTCCTTGAAGAACTTGTTCAATTATAAACTGGAATTTTTCAGTCGCTGCATTCACCCCGAAATTGAGACGTTTATGTCTATGGACCCCAAGGTGTGTACTGAACGTTGTAATATATCTGCTGTCTGGGTGTAACTCTATTTGATGGTATCCTTGATTTAAATCAAGTTTTGAAAATACCTTGCAACCATTCAGGTCATGAATTAGCTCATCCATTGTTGGCATTGGATGTTTCACCCTTTTGATAGCTTTATTCGCAGCTCTCATATCCGTACACAATCGAATATTATCAGGATCACTGGATTTAGGTACCACAACTATAGGAGATACCCACGGAGTTGGTGTATTATCCACATCTTCACAGATATCATTTTCATATAGCTCTTTAATTGCCTTTTCCACTTTAGCTCTGGTTTTAAATGGTACTCTTCTGTGTTTTTGATGTACTGGATCCACAGATTCATCGATGTTCAGCTTTAACTGGTATCCTTTGAGTTTTCCGACACCATGAAATATACTATCATACTCTGACAGAATTTCCTTTGTACGCTTTTCTCGTTCATTTTCAACGGAATGTATAATCTTCAGTATTCCAAGTTGTTCTGCTGTGTCATTGGACCATTAAACAACCTTTGGCATGTTTCATTACATAGAAATCAGCTGACAGTTGCTGGCCATCATTTGACTTCACATTTGCAGCAAATTTGCCAATTAACTGCAGTGGTTTTTCACTACCATAAGCAAATAACTTTGTATCAGCAGGACACAACCTGCAACATTTGGAAGTATTCCTCCGTATTTCTTGATACGCTTTGTTGTCTAGGATGTTAACACTAGAACCACTGTCAACAATAAAACAGCATTTAACACTATTAACATCCACTTCAACTGTTGGAAGCTTATTACAAATCTGAGACTGTTCAACCTTCATTGAGTATTCAGAATTTGCACAACTTTGAGATTCAACTTTACTTGAGTTGTTTGAGCTTGCTTTCAAATTATTAACAGAACGTGAAAACTTCTTCTGTTTTGGCTTCCTACAAAACTTTGCAAAATGACCATAATCATTGCAATTAAAACATTTTCGCCCTTTAGCAGGACACTGACCTTTGTGTGGAAACGAGCCGCCACAATAAAAACAAATTTTCACTGAGTAATTGTTTTTCTTGCGTGTTTTGTTTTGGTTCACTGATTTGATCCGATACGCATTCTCTTGTGCAGTTTCTTCAGTGTTTCCTTCCATCACAGACAGATGAGATTTTGCCAGTTCCATTGCTTTACCATTGTCGAGTAGGGTTTTTAAATCCATCTTTTTGCTTAAACATTTTTTCCTTAATTCTGACGATTTGCATCCCTGAATTATTTGACTTTTGATTTCCCCTTCTACCTTTTCAGGATCGAACTCACAATTTACAGCCATTTTCTTAAGTCGTGTACAAAATTGATCAAGTGACTCACCCTCATGTTGTTTTGTGTTGCGAAACAAATAAATTTCGTACTCACTATTGGCTTTGGGAACAAAATATTCGGTCAATTTTCTTCTTGTATCAGCAAAAGTATCATTTTCCTCCTTCAAGGTTTCATAAATATCGTAACATTGCTCACCCATGTAGTGCAACATTAGAGATTTCTTCCTTTGCTTATCTTCATCAGAATCTTTGATATTCATTGCAAGTGTCAAGTTATCAAATCGTCCAAGCCATTTCTTCCATCTTGGTCCGGCACTTGACAAATCAGCGCAATCAAAAATTGGATAGTCCGGTAACGCAGACGCCATTTTCACGTTTGAAATTAGCGGTGACACTAAGTCTGTAAGTAACGTTACGGTAGCACTTAAAGCAAAATTTTCCCGACGAGCTTCTCTATTCCACGTATGTTGGAGACTTAAAATAATCCTCGTCGCCAGATGTAATATTCAAGGTCTTGAATCCAAGTAACACAGGCTTCAATTGCTCACAGAATATATTATATTGCATGAAAGTAAATAGAAATACAACATACGTCCGTCGCTCACCGAGAGTAGTTCTAGAATGTTCTGTCATGTGGCCTAAACTAGATCACCAGATGTACTCATATTATTACGTCATAGACCAAATATAAGACATAGAATATAGCAGTATTTCATGGACATTACAGCTGGTACGTCGAAGGGCCTACTGTTTCACTTTTCAATTGATTACCCTGAATAAATTTGCCCAAGACGGGCTTATGTAATTAAATATTATGATTTTTGAGCGTTCTTGTAGTGGGACACAAAGTTGTTAGCTGCAGTTAGGAATTTTGCCATGTTTGCAGTACAAGTTTAGTATGATAATTTCACCATACATGGAAATGAAACATATGAGTAATAAAAATGTTGAGGAGTAATAAAATGGTGATGAGGTTCCTCTGTAATTATCTATCTACAGTATATTCATACCTACGTCTATATCTATACCTACAAAAAAAAAATAGATTTACTGAAACTCATGGAGCCATACATGATCGTGTTGTCTGTATGGTAAACACTCAGTTCAGTGATTCAGAAATTGAAAGGGAGGAGGAAGTTGAAGACATAGTCCAGAAATCAGGGCATGATTCGTGTGTGTTATATTCGTTAGAACAAGTATCGCTGGTTTCAGACAGAAATACAGATGATGAAGATATTAGATGCTCAGAACGATGCCACCAATAACTAGCACATATATAGCGTCAGAGTCTAGGGAAGTATTTTCCCCACAGTCAGCATCTAAGACAAATATGACCTTGAGTTCAGAAGCAGATAGATAGATGTAGAACATCAAGAAACAAGTCGTCATCAAACATCTATGACTGACATTCAAATGCGATGGAGAGCAAGATCTACACTACAAGTTGTGTGTAACTTCAAAGGGCCACCTTTACCTCATCAGCCAGAAGAGGAGGCATCGACGCGTTTACAATATTTTCAGCAGTTTTTTGATAATAATAATTTAATTGATCACATTGCAGAACTGACCAATTTGTATTCGGTACAGAAAGTAGAATTTTCCGATGCTACAAACCACAACGAATTCGAACAATATTTGGGAGTAGTTGGACATCCATGATGGGCATTCTGGAATTACCGCGTTATCGAATGTATTGGGCACACGAGACTAGAAAACAACCAATGGAAAATGTAAGTCTAAGAAAATGTAATTCTACTCCTCAAGAAGAAAAGCATGCACTAGATCAGGGGTTCCCAAACCTTTTCAGCTTGCGGCACACTAACAACAACATTAAAAAGTCGCGGCACACTTATTACAAATCAGTTTTATTAAATCCCGTATCCGTAAATATTATGTGTATCGGCATTAAATATGATTAAAACAAGATTTTGTGGGTCAATTGTAACGAGTCTTTATCGTTTTTAGTCTTTTATTTCTGTCAGCGCATGAAATTAATATTTGCAAAATCATGAAAATGCAAATGGGAAAAATATTTTGTTGTACTATATGTCTATATATATATACTGCAAGGGTGACCAACACGCCGATCGCGATAGACGGTCGATCGCGTTTGATGTTGAGTAAATTTGCCAAAATTCCAAGCGAGCAAAGAATCGGACTTGAAGAATATTGTAAATTAGATAGAGAAGTTTGAGCAGTCATGGAACATTTATGGTTTGAGATTGTTCATTATTCGCTGTTTAGATAATACATGGATACTTTCATTCAAGGTTTTTGGAGAAATTGAAAACACTTACGACTGAAAATTAGACAGGCCCTAGATCTGAAGTGTATGATTTCAATAAATTTGAAATAAATGATAAAAATTTTACTCCGGGTACAATTACATAATCAAACAAGAGAGCTACGCACAAATATATGAACACGTTAGACCAGAGCGAATCAGTCTTTACCGGTACCTTTGACGCTACCGGTACCCTCAAAAAAGTTCTGAATTTCCAGTAGCAAGAATTTTGCAGAATCAAAACGTACAGCCAGTCATGACACTGACTAAAATCCGTGTTCCCATGGATAAAAAATAATACAGCAAAATTTTAGACGAAATATCAAATTTCATAGAATTCACGCAAAAATTTGAAATAAATAAAAGTAATAGCCTTCTAGCGAAGAAATTAATCTTTAACCACTGAAAATTTCAAAGCAATTGGTCCAGTATTCGAAGAGAAAAGCGATTTTTTAAAAACGTGTCAAAGAACAAGAACAACAACAACAACAACAACAACATAATATTGAAACGATCGTTATGGCCACTAAACGTGTCCAAATAATATTGAAACGATCGTTATGGCCACTAAACGTGTCCAAAAATTAACAAATTGAATGGAATATGAAAAATGCCTGCTTTTGTGGCAATTTCATTGAGAATGCGCCCGCGGAGCCGAGCTTATTGGCAGTAGTGGAATTTTTGTATGCGTGTGTGCGGTTATCTGCGTATTCGTATTCATTACTTATCGATTTTAATTACAGACAGGTATTTGTCTGTCTGTATGTCTGTTTGTCTGTTAGATGCACGCGATATCTCACGAAAGCGAGATTGAATCTACTCCAGATTTTGCATGTGCATTCATCTTATCTCGGACCAGAAGCCTATTGATTTTGGGCAAATTATGCCGTATAATTAGCAAGTTATTAATTAATTAGTGATGGGACACAAGGTGTCACTATGGAGTAAGAGCGCTGTTTTGGGATCCCCTAACTTTCGATCGATAAGTCTTCGGTCTCTGACCGATATTCTCGTTCATTTTTGTTTATGACATTACAACCGATCAGTCGATCGCGAGCTATTTTGAAAATTTTAGTCAATCGCGGTCGGAAGCAGGTTGGCCACCCCTGATATATTGTATTACATATGTTTCACTGCTATACTGACAGAAAATTTGCATGGCAAAATTTGAGGAAAATTTAACAACCGGAGGGATAGACCAGGCTCAAGTTGGTCCAAACCCTATCATGCTGATACATTCCGTGCGGCCCACAGAACAATTTTAGCGTATATTTGTATCTAATAGTAGAACGTTTTCGAGTTTTATCTTTACTATTCTAACCGGGGTTGGGATCCCAAGATTCAAACCTTTTTTTCTAACGCTTCGTGCCTTTATTTTAGTAAAAACACTCCTCTGTTTTCAAGCGTGGGCCATGTGACAGTAGTGACGAAACGCAGAGCCGACTTAACGCCGCGCTAACCGGGTTTTTCAGGTCCCGAAATACCAACTTCGACGTACTTGGTTGTTATTTGACGATGGCACCAAGCTTGCTCACGCTGCAAGATTTTATATTACTCAAATATATATAACAATTCGTAATTAATTAAATGAGTGTCACAAGAAAGGTGACATGAGGAAAACACGGCGGAAACGTATTTCCTTGCCCATCACACAGTATCTGGTTTGATTTCAAGTAATATCTGTCAAGAAAGAATATAATTTGAAGCGACATTAAACGCAAGATGCGGAATATACAACGGTAGTTCTCGAGAATTAATTTTAAAATAACTGAGGGCTTTATATATATATCTTTTAAGACGGCCATCCATGCAACATAATAATAATCTGATTAGAACGGTGAACTCTCGTTGTTTATTAAATTGAAAGTAATTAAACTCCCGATATTTCGATCACTTTTGGGTTTTTCTCCGCCTTGCGGCCAGTGAGACCTCCTCAAAAGTTTTTGCGGTCCTCCAACCTAGCAACCTTGAACCGCCTTGAGATAGACTACTAGGTACCGATAAAATTACAAAACTACAGTTGTGACTTGTATCCCTTGGTATTTCGATCCACGTTGAGACTGGAGGCATGAATCTTTATTGTCATACTCCCTCAGGATTACAACTCGCCCGATATTGCGTGTTTGCCAATATATCATATCGGGCAGTAAACGACCGATATATATATCGGCTATATATAACAGTTGAGAAACCTAAAAATGTTAGTAAAAGTTGTTTTATTTACTGTTGGTTGTGGTTATTTTTATTGGATGATACACATATGTGGTTTATTGTTTTTATAAATAAATTACACATAAGGGGGCACCAAAGTCTTCAGTGCCCAGGGCACCAAAGGGGCATAATCCGCCCTTGCATGTAGCCTGCGTCGCTGCTCAGCTTCTGAAAAAAAAAAAAAATACATCAAAATTGAACGTCCGGCAATAGTCGAGGAATATAACAGACATATGGCGGTGGAGATCTTTGTGATATGCTGTTGTCCTTGTATCGAATCAGAAATCGTACTACCAAGTACTATTCACACCTTGTGTATTATCGTCTTGAAATATCTGTTGTGAATGGTTGGCTATTAAATCGGCGCCACTGTGATCAGGCCGGAATATCTTCAAATATGGACTTGTGCCCCACATTTAAATCTCGTATCTCAAAAGCTCTAATCCTATCTGGAAAAGAGCTACCACTTCGTCGTGGAAGACCACTATTATCACCACATGAGTCACCACAACAATCCAACAGAGGCCGCAACCCAGCAACACAAATTCCCGGGGATGACGTGGGTTTCGACCGATATGGACATTTTCCTTATTTTACAAGCACGCAAAAAAGATGTAGATTTTGTAGAAAGGGGTTTTCACACATTGTGTACACAAAGTGTAACGTACAACTTTGCTTGTCGAAGCGGAGAAATTGCTTTAAAAACTTTCACATAAAAAGAAAATGAGATCTTTTTTAAGACTTTAAGATAACATACCCAATTTCGTTGCTATGTTTAGGTGTGTAATTAGGATAGGATAGGATTTACATATTTATCCCGGGGGAGAGTAAAGCCGATAAGACGACTTAATCATATGGCGAACCATGGCCTCTCGTCCGGTTACCAGTCCAGGTCAGGTATGGGATTAGTTAGCGAGTAATTTGTTTTCGAAGCATGGACTTGATGGTGGAGGAAGCCGTAACCGACCAGCGGTTAAGTGAACCACCCTACGGCGGCGAGAAGTCTAGCAATCCTCTCGCACATGATCATCCCCGCATGGGATTCAAACCTGCGATCCCACGAAGGGTAATCAGAGATGCGGTGGCGAGCGTATTCTTAGCGCTTAGCACGATGCGCCACACCGCCGAGCCGTTAATTGTTAATTAGGCTATGAGTTATTTCATTGTGTCAGAGAAATTTTTATAAATTTTGCTCGGAACTAATTTGTCATGATGTTGTTCCCAAACAAAGTCGCAGATCTACATGATGACATCACTAAAAAGTCATAAACGGAAGGGATTTATATTATACACCTCAGTGTCGTGGATACCTAATCGCTTGCGCCATCTCGCGATTCAATTTATTTCGACCACACTTACCACTTTACGACATACAGCTGCGGGTTGCCGTTTTGCGGCTTGGGCAAGGCTAAAAAGCACATACAGATATACGACTCGGGTAAGGCTGGTTTTCCTATTACAGTGTTAAATTATATTCTGATATTATTTCAGTGGGATTCAGGTACCTATGAAGAGAATAGCAGCAGCTTCAATTATAACTTCACTGACTTTCATATTGCACTGTCTGAGTGTGTCAGTGTTCTGACACTGACATGTCACATACAGACATAATGCAATAACTGAATAATGTTAGATTCGCATGGAACCGGAAGCAGCTGAACTCAGTTATAATGTCAATGACAAACTAATAGAATACCAACAAGGGGACTACTGGCTTATGAATCATGCGAAAATGAAAAGAACATTAAGGAAACATAACAGAATCCTAAGATTTTGAATCAAGAATATCTGAATATGGAGAAATGTATGGAATGCAAATAGTCTACTGCAAATGCTTTAAAATAAAATTTTACTTAAATAGTAAATGAGAATTCAAACCCTTTTCAATTCAATTCTCTTTTACCATCTTAGATTTAAATTAACTATGTATGTATCTCAAACTACTCTATCACCTTTTTAGTAATGCAGTAATGCCCAATCAGCCTAACCTTTTGTGGCTATCTTTATTCTGTTATCACATTGTATTCCACACATTATCTGTGAATCAGATTGAATTATAAGATTGAGTGTTTTAAAAGTCAACAACCCGAAAGTGCAAAACATTCCAGCATTTGCATATTTTTTGTTTGTTCTTGCCCAAGCCTTGTTTAACTAGGTTTGTGATTTTGTAATTTTTTGTGTATGATGGTGATATTTCTCATGTCTCGAAAGTTTTACGGTACTTGCACTCTAGAATTTTATGTGTTCAATTTATGTGTATTATGGAGTTTTCAAAATATTCTATATATCTACATACATTGTCACTGAAGTGATTGAAGAAATTTTGAAATCGATATTGTTGTGAAAAAGTTGTTAGCTATGATGATCATTTTACTAACTAATATCTTTCCTCTAAATTCAGTAATATTTTATATAGTTCCAAATTGCTATTAAATAGAAAAATGGGGAATGACTTATCTTTACCGATGGAAATGTGCTCCCATTTTGACCCGGAAGAAATTGCCAGATTGGGGAAGCGATTTCGAAAACTTGATCTTGACAACTCTGGTTCTCTGAGTGTTGAAGAATTTATGTCTCTACCAGAACTGCAACAAAATCCTCTTGTGCAACGAGTAATTGATATTTTTGACCAGGATGGAAATGGAGAAGTGGATTTCCGAGAATTTATCGAAGGAGTTTCTCAATTCAGTGTGAAAGGTGACAAACAGTCCAAGCTGAAGTTTGCATTTAGGATTTATGACATGGATCATGATGGCTTTATCTCCAATGGCGAACTTTTCCAAGTGTTGAAAATGATGGTTGGAAGCAATCTCAAAGACTCACAGCTACAACAGATTGTTGATAAGACAATCATTTATGCAGACCTTGATGGCGATGGTAAAATTTCATTTTCTGAGTTTTGCGCCATGGTCGATACTCTTGATGTTCATAAGAAAATGGTGGTAGATGTATGATTATATATATGTATATATTTCGCATGTTTAAATTATATCTGAACAAAAGTATAGATGGGTATTTAAAATGAAGCAGGTATTATATTATTGTTTGCACCAACAACTGTATGTGGAAAATACATATTACACATTTTATGGGCTGTTGCTTTTGCAATCATGCATTGCAAATAGATTGCCGATATATTATCAATTTCTTACTGTTGTGATATGTAAGTATTTCAATTTACTTGCTGTACTGAATGTTATATTTGGTTGACATATTGGTAATGCAGATGCCCCTACTATTAAATTTTCCTGAATATATGTTTTAGGTTTATGTAGCATAGATATGTTTGATATCAAGACTTGTGAGTTTGTTTGTGAAATGTATTCTTCTGCCATGTATGTTCAGTGTTTTGTCTTATATTATAAAGAGATTATTTGTGAATTGCCATTATTTCTATAATACTTGATCATAATAAGGTTTCATTCAGATCTAGTTTCATGTGAATTGGTCAAAGTCATTGACAGAAAAAATTCTACAAATGAATGTCATTTAAAGCTTATTAGCCCAATACGTTTTAATGGACTACAGAATTACGAGTTTAGAGATTCCGATAGTCTGCCTAATAGAACCTTGACAAAAGGTGTCTTCCATTTATTCTTCATTTCATGTGCCTTATATTTTGAATGTTTTTTATCATACCTAGTGTATAATCTTATTAGATTATAAAAAATACTTAAAACATGTTGCGTTTCTATATGTGATGCTGTCTCAATATTTGCACTGTATGTCTTCTGATCTTCAAAGTGATGTCTGTAATCTTGTTTATATGTATTTGTATGTTTTATATACTATATTTGTTGTTATTATTGCAAACACTAAATGTATTTATCTGTGATGTTTAATTTTTTCAGGTTTATAGGGAAAATAATATATGTAATATGGAGTTGTCTGAATTGCAGCAACTAAGTTATTTGATTGAGAGTTTAACAACAAGTTCTAAATCTGAGCTTGACAAAGTCAATTTGAAGAAACTGAAGTCAATGTGTAAAAAATCAAATGAATACGTTGAACATGCATTTCGATTATTGTTCACTCAGTTGGAAATTGATCATTCAGAAGTACGCTTGAATGCAGTATTAATAGTTGATGAATTGTTTCAACGATCTCATGCATTTCGAGAGCTCTTATTAGACAATTTAACCAATTTTCTCGAATTGACTGCTGGAATTAATTTTGATATGCCCTTACCAGAACCAACTGGTGCTGCCAAAGAACTCATGAAAAAATCTGTAAAATGTGTACACGCTTGGCACCAAAAATATGGTCCTGCCTACAAGAAATTGGATCTTGGATATAATTTTTTAAAGAGCTCAAAAAAGATACAGCTGGTCAATGCTGATGAGGTTCAAACTCAAATACAGAGGAATGCTTTGGAGGAGAGAAAGAGAAAAAAGGATGAACATAATAAGAAAAGACTTGAAAAACTGACCACTGACATCGAAAATAACATAATGGATATTAAAAGCTGTCTTGCTGAAATGGAAGCTTGTTTTACTCTGTTGGTTCCCAAATTTGATGATGATGAGACTAATGAACCAGGGGAACAGAGTCAAACTGACGAAAGTCGCCAAACTGGATTCTTGTCCCATAGTTACAACATTGAATTAGATCTTTCCAAGGATATATTCGAATTTATGAGAGTGAATCGTACTGAAGACAATGCAGTTATACTGGAAAATTTAAGAGACCGAGAAAAGATAATGAAAAATGTTCATTTGCCTAGGGTTAAGAAATGGCTGGCTCATCTGGGTATGTGTGGTGCTCCAAGTGAGCTGTTGAAACAAATAATTGATTTGAAGACGGCCATCACAAAATGTATTGAAAAGAATAAAGATATGATAGTATCAGCTGATCAACCTTCCACTAGTGGAGTTTCGTCAAACAATATCTTACATGAAGAGTCTGAAGACTCTAGTGACGATGATTTTGAAGAAGTTTTAGAAAAACCAAAGCTATTTAACAGCCATGCATCCCAGAATATAAATACTGATGTTAATAAAAAAATAACAGCAATTGATACGAGCAAAAAAGAATCTTCTAAATTATCGTCTAATGATACAAATGTTTGGAAACCAATTAGAAGTGATGACAACTTAAATGACCCCACTTCCTATTCTAGAGCTCTTGCTGTTCAAAAAGAGCAGTTGGAATCTCTGAAAAGGGATAATACCACTTCTGATAGTTTTTCTCCACCTAAGATTGCGAAGATTCATCCAAAATCATTAAAATTAAAACAGTCAACTAGCAAATTAGGCAACAGACAAACAAAGGCTGAAATTCCTGCCCCCATTGTTTCATTTGGGCCTGATCTCCTAGAATGGGATGAATCTAAAAAACAAGAGTTGAAGGAAACTTTAAGTATGGGAGCTGCAAAAGCCTTAGATATAGGGCACAGGTTGGTATCAGTTGGTGATAAATATTTTTTATACCTGTATTTTTTTGATGAGCATTTTAGTTTGGTCAATTGAATTAAACTTCAGATTTTTTCATTACTCGCTCAACGTTATTTTTTTGTACTCATAGTTGTCAAATAATCCACTCAGAATACTGCCCAGAATATATTGATGGTTATTTTTTATGCATAATGATTTACCATTGAATTTACTATAAATTTTGTTCCCTTAATAAGGATTCATAAGCTATTAGCCCACTGATGTTCTGTATGACTGAATGTTGACCTTTTTAGTGCTGATTTATTATTCCATTCAGGCATTCATACTAAATGTTGAGAATATTCTGCTGCAGAAAAGTATTTTATTGTTATTAAGCATCAATATTTTTACTGCAGATGAGCATGCAAAACCTAAATAGGACACTGAGCATCTGCTCGCATCCGTATTTTAAAAAGTTTAATGAAGCTATCACATTTGCTTAGTTGAATGAATCAAATGAAGCGAAAGAGATGCTTGTGATCTGAAGATGCTGTATTAACTGTATCAATATTTAAAAAGTATATATTAGAGTATTTTTTATTTTTTTTAATCTTGTTTTGGCAGGTTTTGGTCTGCAGACACAGCTTCAAGAGGGGATGCAGTTTCGGAAGCCGCTCTGACAGCATTAACAACAAGGAGTATAGCATTTACTGGAGAATTTGAACCTGTAAAGTGGAGTTGCCGGGCTCCATTGCCTAGTGGTAGACTATGTCCCCGTAAAGATCGGCACAAGTGCCCTTTTCATGGAAAAATCATTCCGAGAGATCCCAATGGTAATCCTACTGATCCCGAAGATATTAAGAAGATAAAGAAGGACAGTAACGAAACTGACACCACTGAGCACTGGCAAGATCCAGCTCTTTTAAGGGAACTAAAAGCGATAACAGGAATTGATTTGAAAATGCCAGATAAAAAAGGCACAAAAAGGAAGAAAAAGGGCAAGAAGGAGAAATATGAGAACTTGACAAATGTTAAAGATATAAAGGACACTAGCCGACATCGATTGGAGAAAAAAGTTTTAGATCCAAAGAGTATAAAAAGAGTCTCTGAGACATTGGAAAGAATTGAAACAAAAAGGAACATGCAAAAATTTGGAAATAATTTCAATTATGCATTAAACTAAAAGCTCATTAATTTTCCTTTTTTTTTCATTAGGGACTGTTCAACCACTATACTCACTAGATCAACTGAACTAGAAATATTTTCAATTAAATAACAGCTAATTAGATAACGAATTAAAAGTTCATGATGAAATACTGATTTATAGTCTTATGATTTTGATTGTATAAATTTTATCCTTAGGAAGCATGGAACCTACTATCCAAAATATGAGACACTGGCTCTATGGATAAAACATACAACAATTGATGTCATTTCAAATACAAAATAATGAAATTTTAACAGAAGTAAACTTGAGTTTTTATGGATGGTAAATGGGTCTAGCCTAGGATTGCTTCATATGTATAAATATGGAGTACATAGTGTTTTTACGATTAATTACTGAAATGTTTACACTTGGAAATGCACAAAAATTAATGGAGATGTGGATTGCTGAGAATGGATAATTTGTTATGACTGTATTGTTAATCTATATTATGGAAGTCTTACTATGTATGCCTGGTAAGTTTGATTCAATGACATATGGATTCATTTATTCAATGACTAGTTTGCATGATAAGAATAATGATTTATTACCTTGTTGGTGATATCTTACAAGTATTCATAATGATTTGATGAAATTTGTATTCTGCCAAGCTGTCATTGATTCTAATGGTACAATACTTTGGTAATTTGTTGATCAGTAATTCAATCCATAAACAACTTTTATTAGGTATGTGACAATTACTATTTAATCTTGTTAATTGAGCTATCAATCAATATTCTAGTGCCAAAGTAAGCAAACATAACCGTAAATGTCAACTGGAATTTGAATCTCTTTTGTAACACTGATGGTTTTCTTTCTTTAAATCCCCTAGTTTTCTTATTTTATAATGTGATTAGAATAGGGATGTATGAACTGATGTTGGTAGCACCGGACATGTTATTAATTTCAAAATTTTTCACCTCAACATTTTTACTTAGTTTTGCAATATTAATTAATATTTAATTGTAGAATAAATCAATCTCAATAAATCTTATATTATAATTTCTTGCTTTTTTTGTCTGTTTTGTTCTGTTTGCATTATAAATACATTTTTACAGTATTGTAACTTTAACCTACAGTCTACAGCTGTAGGAATTTTGGTGATAGAAGAAAATTAGGATTGGGAAGGCAATAATTACGGTATCACATACATCATGTTATTAATTTATAATACTTTTTTTTACTTAATGGACCAATTGGCTAGTGCCAATATATTTGATGAAAAGTTCAATACAACATATTTTAGTTGTGAAATCTTTTTATTTCATGTAATGAGTTTTATATTACTCATACTTTTTTGGAATTTATATTTTGTTGTCCTTGAGCACATGACGATACTTATTTTTTCTTTTTTAAAGTGTGAATTGTATATTTCTGAATACAAATAATTTTGCAATTTTTGTTAGTATGATATCTGTTTAACCAAGTCCTCGAAATACCTCTGATATCGGAATAATTTTATATCTATTAATTTTTATATTACAGTGTTTTGTTGCAATCCTCACTCTTAATAATTTTACTGATAAAACCGTAGATGAACAATGAGCAATATTAAAATTATCATTAAACACTATGGTTTCCAGGTTCTATTTCCGGATATTTTTTCCATTCCTTGTCATTATCCCATATGATTCGACTTTGTAGAGTAGGCAATTAGCATTTTAGTGACAATGGAATTTATAGCGTCTACTCCATTGTTTTGAAAAATCAATTTATTGTTAGTTGTAACAGTGAAGTGCCATTGTATGAGTTGTCAAGGAGCAAATACCAGTTGTATAGTAGTTGTTGACAAAATAAACTGTTATGATTTCAGTCAGCAAGACTAAATATGTTTGTGTTAGTTCATGTTGTTTTATATGTAGCAACAATATATCAGGTTTAGATATTCTATTCTAAAAAAACAAGGAAGCTATTATAGCAGATTATTAGTGATTCGCTTTTAAAACAGAATAAAGGTATAATCATTTCTGATAACTATTCAGGATATTATGTAATCATGCTCTAAGCCTGCTTTCCGTGAATTCTAATATACACACCAGGCATGTATATGTTACCAGTACTAATCTCACTATGCAAATAATATCATTAACATGTTGGTAACATTGAATCTTCATTTTTTTTTGGATAATTTTAGGTAGGGATACCCAGAAAGAATCAAATATTCAAATACATTCAAAATTCATCATATTCATTATTGTAACTTTTTTAGAATTAAATGCATTAAGAATTTTATTAAAAAATTGGGATTTTGAGGTGTCAGACGAAAAGCCTAAAACGCATGATGTATCCTAATTGTTAACGAACAACACACGATGAATGACCTTGATATGTGTGCCGTATCAGATATGATCAATGATCAAAATGAAGCGTTATAGTGGCTCATGTATTTATACGTATGAGCTTGCTCACATTCAATCTCTTATCGATTGCAATGAATCTTTGACGTTATTTCTTACGTGTATATTTGAATTTTTTCATACACTTTTGTGTTGTGTTTGCATTGATTCTTACATGATAAAAATAAAATAAATTATCTATATATGGTAATATTTTCTCATAATATATTCAGAATAGTAAAATATTCGATTTTGGTCATCACTGATTTATTGCCAGAATATTACAAAATATTACAGAAATGTATTTTACATCTGTGCAACATGGATCTTGGACTAATGTGTTTAAAAATATTCATGAATAACACAAACATGTATTTACTTTGTAGTAGATCATTATATTCAGCTCACTGGATTGTTCCAACTTCTAGAGGTACCACTATCGGTCACTGACCATGCAAAATTTGCAATGTCTTCATATACTTTGGGTAACAGCCAGTGAGATATTTTGAGCTGTTTTCTATTGGAAGATATGAGCTTCTGTTTAAAAAAACCTACCAATGTTCATTATGCTATTTATGTAGGTTTGTTGGTAGTTATGGGTCCAAGATAGGATATCACAAAAGAATTTTTGCTTGGCATATTTGCATTTGGTAATTTGTCAGCAATTTCTTTTTACTTATCTTCTATCATTATTATTTTTAGATCTTGCAATACGTAATATATTTTTAAATTTTCTATCAAAATCAATATGGGATTCAGTTACCGAGTCATGCTAATTTAAATTTGTGAACAACTAGATAAGGTGAGCTATATTTTTTTTAAATTTGTTTTGTAATTTTTCAGTCAATGCCAATTTCAGTTTTTCTTCACATCAAACTTTAATATCACCTATAACATAGGTTCTCAAAGTGCTCCGTACGGAGCCCCAGGGCTCCGCGAGATAAACCCAGGGGCTCCGCGAGCTATTCTATTACTTTTTAAAATACCGACTTGGCTAATTTAAAACTATTCCTAGAAGCAGTAACAGCTTTAATAAAATTTGACAACAATATAGCCTAGGAATATGGCGAAGTGGCGGAATTAAAAAATGACATTATTTATAAGCAGGAGCGCAGCCAGGATTCTTAAGAGGGAGGAGGTTAAAAATTGGAATCGGAAATTTACGCGTAACATTCTTGGCGATTCAAAAAAAACGGATAACGAGATTTCTGTTGCGTAAAATATTCAATTCATGTCCGATGCGAGCATTTGAAGTATCTTATCGTAATAATTTAATTGTGCTCATCGTTATTCATGTTCGATTCGAGATTACTGTTAGTGTTAGGATTACTAAAATGAAAAAATACTATTCTAAAATAACATAAACTGCCAACTACAAATAAATTGGAGTCGTATTTTTGCGATCTTGGGATTTGTTAAACTTGATTTTTTCTTTCGCACTCGATATTATTTTTAAGCAAGATATCGCCGTTTGAAAAATCACAAGGTCTTGGAAAAATACGAACGATTGAAATTTATTTTAGCGCATGCGGCTCCGTCGGTAGTTTCAGAATGGAAAAATGGTACATCGCGCGCATCATTAATTGACTGTGTTTCAATTTCGCAGTTACTACGATGCATAACCGAAGAAGACCTAACATAACACCAAATTTTGTGATTTACAATGTCTATAAGAGCGTTTTTTTCTCACGTGAGTCTGCTGAAACAAAACTTATAGTGCTATCTTCCATTTTGAGTTTGGTTCTAATATTTTAGAATGCCGCTTTTTAATCAAGAAATTTGAATTGCCGATTTACCTCTTTATTAACTATTATTTTTAGCATTTGGTCGGCGATGATTATAATATGGTTACATGTTTTTCACATTGAACTCATAATTCCCCACGAGAACGAAAAAGCAATTATCGTCGTCATTGTGGAACAATACATGTATATGACGAAGGAAATTTTGATTCAGGGAGAATAAACACCTGCGTAAAGATGTTTGAGATTTAAGTCTTTTAAGTCTTCCAAAAATGTCAAGAGGGGAAAAGATTCAACCCCTAATTTATTAATATGTTTGTCATGTGCCAAATTTACAGCTTCAGTATATACAACTTATCTTTGAAATTTAGATTTATTTATGACTTGTATTAACCCTATTAAAAGGGTTTAGTATATAAATTGAGTAAAGTACGTTTAACTTACTCAGGAATATTAATCGGAAAGTATCAATTTTAACATTATTCTGGGGCTCCGTGAATAATAGTCAACATTTTTAAGGGCTCCGCAACACCAAAAGTTTGAGAACCCCTGACCTATAATTAGGGTTGCCACTTCTGGATACATTTTTTTTCGAATCGAATCTCGAATCAAAACTTTTTGAATCGAATCTTTCCGAATCTGATTCCATTAAGCTTTTTTTTTATTACATGCGTATGTTTGCCCAAAGTCACAAAAAAGCTCAAATCTAGAAGAAAAAAATTTGAAAATGGAATAGGCTATATAGCAAGGATGATAAGGGTTTTTCAGTGAATAAGCCACACTTATTTTCATCATGATAAAAAAGATGTAGGTCATAGATATCACTAATAAATGCATTGATGAAAAACTTGCTGTTGCAACTTATCTGTGAGTCTTACAATACTGAGTTATTGTGTTATACTTGTATCAGGGCTGAGGCAATTTGATGGAATTCATATGAGAAAATAAGCAGGGAACAGCTGTACTGTTATGTCGTAAACACAGTAACAGCACTGCTTTTCCTTGTCCCACACCAGTATATGTGACCGTGGTATTTCCCTTCTTGTTATATTGAATTGAGGCCGGCCTTATTACCGATATTTATCTTCAAAATCTTAGTACAATATTTTATATTTATGCTAGCAGCATAGAGTAACACGACAAAAACATTCTAATTGCATCTGAATTACTATAAATGGGAAATGCTTACAAGAATATGATTGAAGACGATAAAATTAACCACGATTAAATTAAATTCGATAAAAACAATCGTTCATCCGACTACGATTGCGAACAAAAATTTCCATAAATATTAGAGAAAGTATTATTTGTGGCTAACAGCGTTATTGGCTAACTCGGGCTTCATTATTAATGTGGACTACGTTTAATTTCGTAGTTCAGAAAGTCCAAATGTGCATAATGGACGCCGCGCTGACGAGCGATAATTGGTTGACGCTTTATCTCGATCGGACATGGTCGCTGGGGCTAAAGTAAGACGACATTCGCACAGTATGCTCGGTCTGGTATGAAATCTGCCACGTGTTGATGTAAAACAGTGCACAAGTTGCCATTCCTCAAGTATTATTTACTCCCACCTGTCCGTTATGACATTTGCTCGAAATAATCCGAAATGTTTTATTCGCTTGTATCGCGCTAACAAAATTAAAAGTAAATACTACTTTTTTTTGTAACAGCTGAAAAAAGACGTGTATGTACTATTACATTATGTCCCCCTGATTTCGTTTACCGCCACTCGAGTGGAAGCCTGACAAACGCAAACGAAATAAATATATATTTTAGGATGAGAAACATGATTGTCAATTAACATTGCCGGCCGATGAACTCAGTAATAGTTCTCTTCAAATGTACGCAAAATATTGCTCTCAGAACAAAGTTTAAATTAAATTTCAATCAAAATTAAACATTATCTAGACGTCGGTAGCCGATTCTTTATCCAATCATGCCAGGGCGTACAATAACTTAGTCGCAGCGCAGGTGTGCTGTTGAAAATTTTCATCAAAGTTGTCACGAATTTTCAGGTATACGATCCATTTAAATTCGCGCGTAATGGAAACTTCGGCTATTTAGTGGAAAACTGAACTCGCAGTTTGCTGGTAATTACGCCACACATCATCTCGAGTGATGCGTAAAAGAGTGTGTTGTGTCGAACTTGAAACAAATGAGGGCAGACAAGTAAAAAAGTCAATCACGAAAAATTCATTTTCATTTATTTACGTCCCGTAATTTGTTGCTATTTGGAGTGCCGCATAAACGCATTCGGCAGTTTTAACGCCACCGAAAACAACGATTAACAAATGTTCAATGTTTTTCTTTCGGTCCCGTAATTTGGTGTTATTTGGAGTGCTGCATAAACGCATTCGGTAGTTTTAACACCGCCGAAAACAACGATTAACACACGTTCAATGTTTTTTTTTCGGTCCCGTAATTTGGCGTTATTTGGAGTGCCGCATAAACACACTCTGGCAGATTTAAAGCCGCCGAAAACGACGATTTAACAAACGTTCAATGTTTTTTTTTTCGCTAAATCGCTCTCTTTTTCCGAATCGCGTAAATCTGATTCGAATCGATCCGGAAAAGATGCGATTCGAATCGATCCGATTCGTAAATCCAAAAGTGGCATCCCTACCTATAATATTGATGCTTGAATCCAAAGGAATTGGACAAGAAATGATTGAGTTTTATCAGTTCATTATCCTCATTTTTCTCAGCTATCTTAATTAAAATTTCAGATTTTTTCGTAAATCTGGAGGTGTGAGTTAATGCATGGTTATTCATAATAAAAATTGGAGTACTGTCGTGTTTTCCCATTTTCAGATTTTTGACAGGTGACCAAATTTTACTGCAGTTCTAATAAATATAACATGCTAATTTCTTGTATCAAACACATATATAGTATGAAATTTTCATTGCATCATGTTTACCGGTTACCGGCATATTTATTATTTTTGTTTTCAAGATAAACATGGAGGAAAGCAGTCATATTCCACAACCAAGGCACTCAACTCCGGTAAAAAAAAGTTATGGAAATTCTGGTTACCACAGTGAGGTTGGTTCGAGTTTTGATGTAAATTATTTTCTATTTACTTTTGTTTTTAATGGTACTGACTGGACTGTACTATATTATGAATTGCATTGTTTACAAATTTAAAATTATTTTGAGAGATTTAATTTTATAGCATTTATGATAGTTATTCTTAGCATCAGTAATAGTTCTTAATCATTTCTAACCTTTAAGTGGCATAATAAATTTTTTTTAATAACATTAGCTAATATGGTAAATGTAGTTACAAAAGCATGAATGTACAATTTTTGTAGTTTTCAGCCAATTTCAGGTTATCGATTATCGATGGTTAGCACAAGAATATCCTAAACTTTGTCGCGAATTTCAAATACGCTTGGTGTACATTCAGTATTTTCTATATAAATATATTTTAATTTAAATACTACTGTTTTTTAATATTCTCCAAACTACAAAACCTGAAAAATTTAAAAACCAATCCTTGGGTTTTTTGACTGGATTATCTAAATATTTATAATGGTTAGTTTTGATTTTGATTATCTTTGGCTTGTAACATTCTGAATGTAATACAAATACAGCCATTATTTTTAATACAGTTCAGTTAAAAGAGAATAAACAAACAATACTATATTCTTCAGAACAGTCCTGCACCTCATAACAGTGCAAGTACCAGTGGAATGATGAGCATGACAGACCTTGAATCGACCACTGTAGAGAAACAAAGGAAAGAACTTCAACTTTTGATCGGGGAATTGAAAGACAGAGATCGTGAATTGAATGAAATGGTTGCAGCTCATCAACAACAATTATCAGCATGGGAAAGAGACAGACAACGTGCTCTGTTATTAGAAAGGAAAAATGATAAATATGAAGGTTAGTAATTTTTGTGTTTATTTATCATTATGGTATAGGTCTACTGAATGGGCAGTAAGATGTCTCAAACCAAAATTTGAAACCAAACTAATTTTAATTGGTTATGGCTACTCTTTACCATCCATTCAGAGAAAATTGGTTGAAAAATGGAAATGCAAATTCTTGAAGAATTTGAAAATATAAAGATAGAGAAATGAGGTTTTGCAAATTTATAGCTTCACACTTTTAAAAAGTTATGATTAAAAAATATGGTTCTTCTGACTGATGAATGCTGATTGATAATGCTTTAATTCAGCGATTCCCAACCTTTTTCACCACAGTCCTCTCCCTTTCCTATTTTGAATCTTTTTATTCCTCCCTTACTGTGCATAAAATCTTTGTTTTTGTTATTTGTCAATATTTAATAAGGGATCCGTACCTGCTTTTACACGCAACTCGTGCTTGTGGTATTTGCACATAGTTTCTGATGTGACAATGAATTAAATAATACTGAATACCTAAACAATATCAGTAAAATTACACTGAATGAAAAGTAATATTTCTTCTGTTTTTACCCCCAAACATCAATTTTCCTCCCTAGCGCTGCTTTAATTCCTTAATATACATGGTGGGGCAAAAGTACGGTTTCAGCTAATACTAACAAATAATAGAGTAACTTTTAAACCAACTTTTGGCCCATTCTAGACTTGATAGTTTTTTAAAAAAATTATGTCTTAAAAACACAGGTGAATTGAAGAAAAGACAAGAGCAAGTACGACTTCTTATTCAAAGATTAAAAGTTTCTGAATCAAAGCACAAAAGCAAAGACAGTGCTTTAGAATCAACACAATCTCGGATCAAACTACTGGAAAGAAGCATGTCAAGCACTAGTTATGAAGTAGACAATTTAAAGGTAGTTTGTCAGTTAAGATATTAGGTAAGATATTATGCAACAGAACTATCAGATATCTTTTCTTTAGGAGCAAAACGTTACACTTAATACATCTCTTACTGACATGTCAACAAAAGTCAACACTATGGAGACGAGGGAACAAGAACTCATGACGCTGCTCAGACTCAAAGTATGTAGAAGTAGGTGTGGGCGAAGGAGTTTAGCCATACTGTGATGCGTAATTTTCATAATATTTTACTGATATTATTCTTTGCCCAAACATATGTATGTTATTCAGTAATTATGGTAGTATGGTGTTAATTTGAAATGACCTGTGACAATAAGTATAATCAAATTTAAACAACAAATGAGCAGACAAAATTGAAAATCAAATACTCATAATCATTAACATTTCAAAATATGCTATGCTGTATGGGTATTATCTGTTGCTACACTTATTCATTGGAAAGTTAATCGAAGAAAAAAAGACTAGAATTCAGCCTTTTGAGATACATATATCTTTAACCAGTTGTAATTTGTTGATGTTATTGCTTAATTTTTAAAGGAAAAAGAACTTCTCGATATTTCTGGTCATGTTTCAACATTAAGTTCAAAACTTCGATGTCTTGATGCTGAATTACAAGACAGTAAACGATGCGAAAATCGATCACGAACAGAGGTGTTGGACGAGCGAACAAGGTACAAGCAAACAAGAAATGAACTAGACAGTATGAAAGGTAAACGTGTACTAGAATGAGATTTGAGCTTGTAAATGTATCGTTCATATAAAATAGTGAAAAAACAGTGAAAATGCATTGATTGTTAGTGTTGATTAGATTGGCTGTTTATGAATCTATGAATTGAAATGGGAATGGTTCTATTGATAGTTTTAGAGACTTAGCAAACATATTTAACTTCAGTGGCAGCATCACCTGGTTTCCAAGTGCCCCAGCTATGTCTGTAAAAAGAATAGGCCCACATATATAGGTTTAGCATTTGGTGGTATTGTACTTTCATCAAATGTCAGTGGCATTTACCTTGTTACAAATGTTTTTTCTGCAATGTTGTATGGCATGGGTGGGCACAATTTTTTAGTATAAGAGCCGCATGCTGCAAGTCAGAACTTTAAAAGAGCCGCAGAATTTGTGAATTTATTAATATTATCAAAATACCATGAACAGAAAAGAAATTCACACAAGAGTCTAATAACAATAAATAGATAAACCAGGCAGCTATACTCAAATATACGCACAATTTGAGCTCATTTAATTTGTGTTACCTTATAGCTGATTTACGAGGGTAGTCTCGTAAGAAGTTTTCATGATTCGTTTCATGGTGCCGTTTAACATTGCTGACTTTATTCTGACTTAGTAGCTTATGACAGATTAAGCACAAAGGTTTTTTCTCCTGACTGGCAAATTCGTACGTTCTTCCCATTCTGACTTGACAACTCTGTTTTCATCTTCGTACTTTCGTTTTTTAATTGAGGACATATCGCACAGTAACTTAGACTAACTAACCGCAATCAAGTTGCAATACCGCCGACGCATCAATAAACATTGACCATTGTGACAAAGATTTGCTGACTTGACTGACTTAAATTCAAAATTCAACGCCACATCGATTTTCATGCTAAAACATAATTTGTCCTAATCATTGACGAAAACTTCCTTACGACTCTTATTAAATTAAAAGAGTTTACATTAAAGTTTTTTTTATAGTTCAAATTTGGATAATAATTGATGTTAGCGAGAAGAGCCGCGGTGTGCCCATTATGGATTCCCTGACACTGAAGTTCTCAGTATATTTTTAGTGAATTGTACTAATTTTTGTTTATCTTTGTTTTTAGCTGAAATGATCGAAAAAACAAATGAAATTATGTCTTATAGAAAAGAAGTCGCACACTTAAGAGATGAAATTCATCGATTACAAAAAGAAATTTATTTGAAAGGTAAATCGAATAAAATGTAAAACAGGAATAGCAGTTTAGTATCAAAGCATTTATACACAAAAACCTCTAATAAAAATATATTTGGCGAGTAATGGTTTAGCAATTAACCAATTTTTCGTCATAGACATTTGATTGTATGATTAGGATGGCACCCATCTCATACACATATATCGAAAATTCATTGCAAATCTGTTTCATTAAGATGATCATATATATATATTTATTATTTGAATAGATGATGAGTTACGGAGGAAAGATGATCTAATTGAACTACAGAAGTCTAAACAAGATAGAGCCGATAAAGAACTTGCTGCCTTAAGAATGGTGAATAATAACAACCTATTGCTCTAAATTGCTCTTTTTATCATATATGGAAGTTTTCCACTTTTGTAGTTTCTTACAAAATGTTATGGAATCGCAAGTTGACTCTTAAATATAGCATACATTAATATTACTATCAAAATATTGTAATCTGTATTATGCTTTACTGTACGTTTCAGGTTTATGAAAATCAGCAAAAAGAGTTAACCGCATTACATATAAGTCTCTCTGATTCTCATGAAATGTTGGAAAAGCAAGAAGAAAGATTAAACCAAATTAGGTATGCTGTTATATTGGTACTCCCGAAGTATGTGAACCAAGATGGCGGACACTGAAACGTAGTAGGTGTGCCAGGTTAGGATTAGGCCATAATTTCAGGTACAAATACTACGGGAGTCACTTGGCTAGTCCCCGAACTTGTAATAGAAGTAAAATAAGGAAAATTGGAATAAACTTATGGCCTAACCCTAACCTGGTACACATACTACGTTCCGGTGTCCGCCATCTTGGTTCGCATACTACGGGAGTACCGTTATATTTGCTATTAAGCGGAGTTTGAGACGACACCATCTATATTAAAGTATTTTGAATAAGAAAACAAACAGGGAAGGAAGCGAAATTGAGAGAAAATTAAATTATATTTATTTTAAGGCTTCTATCAGTATCATTTTATATTACTACTATAATTTCAGTGACATAAAATTGCAGAAGAAGAGTGTCAGTTTCTTAGATACAGCATTATACACTTCATCTACTACAACAGAAAGTGACAGCGTGATTGATGAAATTCATGATTCAGAAAATTTAGACCAACTTGAGTTAGAAAAAGGGAATGGTGAGGAGATAAAAGAGCGGAGGGTTATAATACTCGGTAGAGAAAAGCACAAAGATGGTAAAGTTGGCTCTGCTGTATCTAACGATAATGTTTCTGACCAGAAAAGTCATTCGAAGACTGTCAAATCTGCGGCATTAAAATCTTTGTACCCTACCAGCATGGTCAGTTCTACAAAGAAAATTCAAACGAAAATGCATGTTTTCAGTGAAGGAGAGGATATTTACAAGGGGTGAATAATTGTTGATATAAATATCTGATTTGCCTAATTTCAAATGCCTTTTCAATCATTATTTATTATGTTATTTTTGTTTTGTGTAAAGATGTGTGAATATATCTTTAATTTTTAGTCAAAATGGGCTTGATCTCAGTGATTTTGAAGATTGCTGCAGTGATGCTACAAATGATCTCTTAGAAGAAGCCAGACGATCGGCAACTTCAAATGTAATTATACCTGAAATTGATGATACTGAACCTAAACAACGAACGGTAAGCTTCAAGATGTAATATATGCATGCATCACAGTAAGGCTATACAACCAAGATTTATAGGATCAGTCTTTAGGGTGTAAAAAGGTGCTTAGATTTAGAAAGAATGGAATCTTTTTGCTTATGTTTAACCTACCAGCTATTCTACACTTTGGTGAATAATCACTTGGTGATTAGACATGCGCTCACTTCTTTACATTGTGATATGTACTGGCATATAGGAATGTGGCCGATAAAAAGAACAAATCACAAATACAATTTCAAGAGGTTCTCTTTAAAGGCGAGGCGAATATCGGTGGATGGTGGCAAACTTCAATACCTTTTGTCTCAAAAAAATATAACCTACGCGAAATCCATGAATGACATGTTTTCCTTATTATGCCATTCTAGAAATCACTCTTGTTTATTACAAAGTACTTTTCCTTCGGCTACATCTGTTGACATTCATATGTTTTTATATATTTCAGTATTCTCATTCTTCACCAACAAGCAAACTACAAAAATTACTTGCAGAATCCAGAGAGATGGTTCATAATTTAGAACGTACTGCTCTAACGCCAGTCCCACGTCCAAATTCTGCAAGAGCTACCTCCAGTCATACTTCTTATTGAAGAGACGTTAACAGTTTTAGCACAATTTTTTAGAAATCTATCATTAAATGGAAGCCATTTTGAGTTCTTTCTTGCCAAATTTTAACAATGCTGCATTTTTCAGGCATTATTAAGCATCTTGATTTGAAAATGAAATTATTTGATTTTAATGCTGTGTACAATTTGTTTACAATCTTTATGTTCCAACGTTTTTACTTTTCTAATGCATTTGTATGTGATTTTTAACAATTTTTTAAGTAATTTTACAGTAAATAGATTATATTTAATGAGTGGTAAAGGAATGAAAAGATTGATTATTTTGCAATTTTCTGTACAAAATAGAGTGATTTTTACTGTTTTGAAAAGGCAATTTCCAGAAGTATACTGATTTATGCCATGATTTTGTGTAATTTGGGGAACATTGTACCCATATACTTACCGTACTTCCCAAACTCACCCAAGGTTTTTGTTTAAAACATTTTTTATGATTTCAAGTTAGACTTGTCGTTTCACTTCATTGTATAAGTGCCATCTACCTTACATCTTCACTTCGCACTTCCTGTTTTTATTAAACTGATAACATTTAAATAAGAAATGGATAATAAAATATCAAATGTAAGCTCTGCAAAATTGTATTTAAATCCATGTTTTTGTATTGGGGTTACTTGTTTCATATACTACGAATTTCTGCTCGCTATGTCTAATTTTTTTACTGGTTTGGCGGCATTGCAACGACTGTGAATCGCGAATATATAATAAAGATTCAAAGATATGCTTTGTTTCGGTAAATTTGTTGGAAAAATTAATGGTTGGCTCCGTTATTTTAGAAATTGCCTTGACGTTCCAATAAGGTTGTGGTTCAATTTTATACGAATTAAATCACCGCATTGAGAGGACGTACTGGTGTGCCACATTGGGAGTATTTATGTGTAACACAAGTTAAGCACGTACGTATATGGGTGAATGTATATCAATGACATGATATTGCGGTGTCTCCAAAATGTCTTGTACCACGCGTCCTACGTGTCGAGTGGGACATGACATTATGGAGACACGCATGATATTGCGACAACCTAGCGCAGGATCGTCCAACCTTTTTGACGGGAGGGCCACATTTAGTTTACCAATGATTGCGCGGGCCACTTAACATGTTAGTTATGTTGTAGTTTTGCTACACTGACTACAGGTTAATGAAAGAACAAACAATATCTTCACACCGAACTCTCACCATTATTATGACAATAAAACTGTTGTTTCCCAGCTATTGATGGGGCGCCATCAGTGATTATTCCCGAAAGTTTCGCCAAGACGCTTGATCATTTTCATCACAGTTTCCAACAATTCAATGCCTCTAGTCCAGTGGTTCTTAAACTGGGTTCGATCGAACCCCTGGGGTTCGGTGGAGCTGTTCCAGAGGTGCGACGAAGGTGCTCTGAAACAGTTGCATATTATGAGACTTTTTTATCACCCTGCATACTAATTATGCAAAAATAACTATAGTTCATGATGACTAATCACTAATGACTTGAACAATTGAATGAAACAATTAATTGGTGTTACCCTTATCCATATTCTACCGTACTAATAAAATTTAACTCAATTTTACGGATAAATCGAAGATAGGCAGTAATTGTACATGAATGAATGCAAAATCAGAGCGTGTTTGAATTTCCCTAGGTGATAAATTTGCGACAAGGAATAGTTTATCGCAGAGCTTTATCCGAAATTATTATGATCCATTCAGGACAACCTCGATATGGCGCCGAATTAATCCTATCTCTATTTCTGTAAAATAAAACAATTGGCAAACGATTTTATTCGCATTTCAGCGCAGTTTAAAGTTTGAGAACAAATTGCTTGAACTACCAACGTTTATGGAGTATATTATCATCTTTCGGATTTTCAAAGTTATTTTTTATCAGTTTTCGCCGGTTCACCAGCAAAACTTATACAACAAAAACCATCTGCTATTTCTGCCGCCAACGCCATTGTGACAAAACAATGGTTATTCCCACATGGTTAAGGATATCTAAGGTCTCATCACAATGTTCATATTCTATAACCTTGCAAGAATTAGCTTCCGCTTTATAACGTTACGGTTTGGCTTCTAATTTCAACCGTTCAGTACGATGGGGTTCGGCGGGAGCTTGCAGAATAGCGCAGGGGTTCGGCAGGCTCACAAAGGTTAAGAACCACTGCTCTAGTCGTACCCTTAATAGGGACATTGGCTGCGAGCTCTTCGGTAATCGGTACCGTAATAACTCGCCGCAAGAAGATCTACAACTGAACAGTAAACTTCATGTCAGTGCTTTCGTCAAGCGCCAAGGAATACGATGAAAATTTTCCCGCTTTTGCAATTAAAGTTTTCGCTATAGAGTTCCCAAGCTCTTCAACACGACGAGTTGTGGTCTGTCTTGACAGGCTATTTTTGCAAACATCTCTTTTATTTCCGGGCTTAAAACATTGGCAACGCGAACAATACATAATATACATTCCTTAACCAATTTTCAATCTGAGAATGGATTCGATTGTTTTGCGATAACATCATATAGATAGAGTAGTAAAAGACCAAGTGTGTAGGGCGTAGGCGATGGCACCTTCATGTATCGATATCTCTCAGTTGGTTTCGATTCCACATATCACTCGCAAAATATTTTATCCAGTTTTTTTTATTCAATTCTAAAAAAATACAGCTCGGGCCACATGTGGCCCACAGGTTGGACGACCCTGACCTAGCGATTACCAAGTTTTGATTCTACGCTGTGCCTTTTCCGGTGAAAAAGTAGAATGACGAGGGCGTACTAGATGATAGTCTGAATATATGTAGACGGGAACAATGAAAACGTATATATTGAACGCGCCACTCTCAGCCCTTTATTCACAAACAATACACGGGAATAAATCACTTGGCAAAGAACAGCGTTCTTTTAAACGAATAAAACGATTAACTCAAGTCACAATGCATATATCAACAGCAAATGGGGAAATTTTTATCAAACTTTTCCGATTCGGATAGCTAATACAATTAGAATATATCAGTGGCGGCGCGTGGTCATTTTGACAACCGGGGCAAACTACTGCGGGACCAAGTCACCCCCATCTACGGGGACAGGATGAGCGCTGTAAGTTCTCCCATTATTTTATGAGGATAAAAACCATTCCATCGGTAACAACCAATCGGCAAAAGCGACAATTTTTAACGATAAGAAAGTGTCTTTAAAACCGGTCCAAGTCAAGGGATTAATAAATATAGACATAGTTTATTTTGAAACCTCTTTCAAAAGGAAAGGCAATATTTACCCAGATAAATACAATGACATCTTAACAGAAACTTCGGGAAAGCAGACAAAACCTAAAATAAGGTTTAAAACGTTACTATGAAGAAAGGAAGGTAATGCAAAGATAAGGACATGCGTCGCTCACTCATAGATATATACTATATAGCCTATGCTGCTAGACTTCTACTGCTTGAACATATATGCAACACGCCGCGGTTTCTTGGAAGCAAAATGCTCAATAACGCGCTGATTAAAGTCATGCATCCCAGAAATACCGTCTCTGTGAATGGATAAAACAGCCAAGGAATTTAATCTATCTTGCTTCATTGTGTTTCTGAGATACGTTTTAAGACGCTTCAGCGTGCTGAATGTTCGCTCTGCGTCGGCGGAAGAAATAGGCGTCGTCAAAATGATGTCCAGAAATTTTGCAGACGCCGCAAAGGTAGTTACTAGAGTGTTATCTATGAGGAACCCATAGAGCGCGCAAGTTGATGTGATGTTCAAAAAAGTTTGATTGGTGTATATACATCGCAATTCATTTTCCAATTTAAAATTTGGAGACAGTAGCCAACAAATGGTTGGGAAATTGACGTGCAAATTTTGAAAATTTTTTGGGGTTCATCGAAGAGAACGCGGCAAGGTGTTCAGTGCGCAGACGATCGCCTATTTGATTCACCAGAATGTCATAGCATTCCTTTGCAGACAAAATCAAACGCTGCGTTGTTTGTCCGCGGCGTAAAGAAGCACTCCATGTGTCGTCGTATTTTATTGTTTCCCGGATACGAGATACAGCATCGCAGAAGTCTGAAATACACGACTGCACAGACGCTCCATGCATTAGCCTTGGCTGCAATGCGCCGTATAATACATCCACGTGATAGAATATTGTGGAGAAAAAATGAAAACTCACCATCTTCTAGCAAACGCTTTAGACCTGCCGCCTCCCTCACAGATGCAGCCAAGCCAATGCAGCATTGTTAAAATTTGGCAAGAAAGAACTCAAAATGGCTTCCATTTAATGTGAGGGAGCTCTTCGGTAATCGGTACCGTAATAACTCGCCGCAAGAAGATCTACAACTGAACAGTAAACTTCATGTCAGTGCTTTCGTCAAGCGCCAAGGAATACGATGAAAATTTTCCCGCTTTTGCAATTAAAGTTTTCGCTATAGAGTTCCCAAGCTCTTCAACACGACGAGTTGTGGTCTGTCTTGACAGGCTATTTTTGCAAACATCTCTTTTATTTCCGGGCTTAAAACATTGGCAACGCGAACAATACATAATATACATTCCTTAACCAATTTTCAATCTGAGAATGGATTCGATTGTTTTGCGATAACATCATATAGATAGAGTAGTAAAAGACCAAGTGTGTAGGGCGTAGGCGATGGCACCTTCATGTATCGATATCTCTCAGTTGGTTTCGATTCCACATATCACTCGCAAAATATTTTATCCAGTTTTTTTTATTCATTTCTAAAAAAATACAGCTCGGGCCACATGTGGCCCACAGGTTGGACGACCCTGACCTAGCGATTACCAAGTTTTGATTCTACGCTGTGCCTTTTCCGGTGAAAAAGTAGAATGACGAGGGCGTACTAGATGATAGTCTGAATATATGTAGACGGGAACAATGAAAACGTATATATTGAACGCGCCACTCTCAGCCCTTTATTCACAAACAATACACGGGAATAAATCACTTGGCAAAGAACAGCGTTCTTTTAAACGAATAAAACGATTAACTCAAGTCACAATGCATATATCAACAGCAAATGGGGAAATTTTTATCAAACTTTTCCGATTCGGATAGCTAATACAATTAGAATATATCAGTGGCGGCGCGTGGTCATTTTGACAACCGGGGCAAACTACTGCGGGACCAAGTCACCCCCATCTACGGGGACAGGATGAGCGCTGTAAGTTCTCCCATTATTTTATGAGGATAAAAACCATTCCATCGGTAACAACCAATCGGCAAAAGCGACAATTTTTAACGATAAGAAAGTGTCTTTAAAACCGGTCCAAGTCAAGGGATTAATAAATATAGACATAGTTTATTTTGAAACCTCTTTCAAAAGGAAAGGCAATATTTACCCAGATAAATACAATGACATCTTAACAGAAACTTCGGGAAAGCAGACAAAACCTAAAATAAGGTTTAAAACGTTACTATGAAGAAAGGAAGGTAATGCAAAGATAAGGACATGCGTCGCTCACTCATAGATATATACTATATAGCCTATGCTGCTAGACTTCTACTGCTTGAACATATATGCAACACGCCGCGGTTTCTTGGAAGCAAAATGCTCAATAACGCGCTGATTAAAGTCATGCATCCCAGAAATACCGTCT